AAGAAACAAGCCTGTTGGAAGACATCATATCCACCATTGAAAAGAAAGTTGAAATGGTATGATTATGTCATAAGAACCAACAATCTTTCCAATACCATCCAACAAGGCACCATCTTAGGCAAAGAAGAGGCAGATTGAAAAAAAATGTGTTGACAGCATTAATCCATGAACTGTAAGAGACTCAGACATTGGCATATAACTGAGATACATGGAGGGAGCTGGTCAGGTGCTCAGCAACCATATCCCATCATGGGACTAATAATAATTATTAAGACAGTATCCCTAATTTAAAATTCAGGCATTTTACTTGGGGCTCATTCCTCTTCGTAGGGAATACATTTAAAATAGTAATTATCTAAAAATATTAAGTTTCAAAAGCAGAAATGAATACTTGAAAGAAATGAAGCCTTAAGTGAAATTTATTATTGTGTACAATGAGTTAATGTCAAATCATTATTTGTTAAGTTATAATATCTGGACTATAGTGAAAATAGGCAACCATTTTTATAAGCACTTTATGAGTAAACTCTGTTTTATTTGAATCTGAGATACAAATACAGGTGACAGTTTCTTGTGTTAGGCAGATCTTCATTCAGAAGATTGATACAATATTTTTCCATTTTTATTTTTCTATCATTTAGCTTTGTGCTATACTAATCTGTAAGGATTACTTACAATTTGGGTAATAAAGCCACTAAGATGCAAGGAGTTACTGAATGTGAAAAAATATCAGAAAAGCAAACATTAAGGAGAGAGAACAATAAAAGAAGAATAATTAAGAAAATGAAAGAAAACTATTGATATTGTATTTAAATTTTTAAAGATCAAAGTTGATGAAAGGGAGAAGCTGGAAGATTGTTCCACAAATGAGAAGTGTGAGAAGAGACTGTCAGCATAGAACTTATGGTTACATTTAAAAACTCAGAAAATTTAGTTTCATACAAAGCTAAATTTATAAAGAACATGAAAACCTAACTTACAATTTGTGAAAATAGCATGCTGACAAGGATATTATGTGATTTTGTGATGTTTTTATTTGCTCAAAATAAAGTTTGGTTTTGTGCTTTTCTTAATTAAGAGAATATTAATGTCTGCTAATTTCAGAGCCATTATTTCTTGATTCCTATTTATTTTTGCTTAGATTTTTTTATCCTTTGTTTACTTGCAAATTAAATTCTTTGACTGATGATTCACTAATCAGAAATTGGTAAACATTAACTTTCCCCTGTGGTTTGTGGTTAGATTTAAAACTTGTAGCAAGATAATTTTTCATTGCCCTGAATACTCAGTGTTCTTTTTTCATCTCATAACGCATTTTTGGTCTTTTTTACCCCTCCATCTTGTGCCCCAACTTCCTCTGGCTTTCCTCTTCCATCTCGTGCCCCCACTTTCTGTGGCTTTCCTCTTCCATCTCGTGCCCCCACTTTCTGCGGCTTTCCTCTTCCATCTCGTGGCCCCACTTTCATGCCCCCCACATTCTGGCCCCTTTCCTCTTCCATCTTTTTGTCCTTTTCCCCTACCTTTCTGTGACCTTCCTCCTCCATTTTGCATTCTTTTGTGTCTTTTCCCTCTCTACCTTGTGCCCCCCATCCTAGTTTTTCTTTTGTGACTTTTCTCCTCCATCTCGTGCCCTAATCTTTTGTGACTTTTCTCCTCCATCTCGTGCCCTAATCTTTTGTGACTTTTCTCCTCCATCTCGTGCCCTAATCTTTTGTGACTTTTCTCCTCCATCTCGTGCCTTTTTTGTGATTTTTCTCCTCCATCTCGTGCCCTAATCTTTTGTGACTTTTCTCCTCCATCTCGTGCCCTAATCTTTTGTGACTTTTCTCCTCCATCTCTTACCAATTTTTTCTAAATTTTTTATCCATGTTTTTACATTTACATTTGTTTACATTTCCAATTAGTTCTTCTTTGATTCATCTTTATCTTCTTTTTCTTATGTCTTGCATTTGCATCATAAATTTTACTATGACATTCATTTGAATTGATTTTATTTTCTCCATTTTTACCTCTTTCTTTTTTTTATAACCTGCTTCTAATTTCCTCCATCTTATATTCTTGTTTTGCCTGAAGAACAAGGAATCTTTAAAATTTCATTACAATCGGTCAGATCTAAGGATATATTATTTAGCCTAATATTGACTTCCCATTCTACCACCGACTGATATGTACATAACAGCAGCAGCAGCCATTAGCATGTTATTCCAGGTGTCATCATACCTAAACAAGTACCCTCCCCATCCCCAATTTTTTTTTTTTTTTTTCCACCTGTGGATAAGCTTTTGACTTTCTCCACCAGTCATTTGCATTTGTGTATCTTTGAACTTGTTTCCTCATAGTCTCTTTGTTATTTCCTTTTATGATGAAAGATGAAGAAGCGAATTCATTTTTATTTTTCTACCTCCAGTTCACATCAAATGTCTATCTACATGAACTCTCTCTCTCCCTCCTTTTAATTTAAATGTTTAGTATTTCACTGGCTTTTTGAACTTGTTTACAT